CAAAAAAAGACATTTCGGACAACTATGATGAGTGTGTAACAATGTGCATCCAGAGGTGGATTCATTAGTCTCTGGGTTGTCGGCGAGCACGTGCTTTGCATAATATCATGCCGCTTGTATGAACGCTTCGGCAGTGTTTTGCTCGAGCCGTGACTCATTCATCCTTGGTTTCACAGCATCGAGCCTTTGGTGGAGGAAGGTTAGAGCGATAATGACAAAGGAGCAACACACTCACCGATGCGACGCTACCCAGACAGAACTCCGTATCCAGCAAAGCAGATATAGCATGAGTAATTTGGAGATTATACTCTCTGGACCCAGTGACTGTAAAGGCGGTAGTTACTCTAGCCTACAGTGTTCACCCACGCTGCAGACTTGCAAGGCTGTTAATTTTTATCCCCCCTCCCTAAACCTCTTCAAGTTGCATCACTGCACTGAAAAATAAGGATGGCAAAGCTACTTTTCTGAGAGTTGCTCAGGCCTTGAAATATTCAGGCTGATAACGACGACAAAAATGAAGAAGTGGAGAGAGAAAATGGGGAGCCAGTGAATATTGTGTTGTTAGCAGTAGCAAAGGTATTAACTTCACCTGTTTAGTATGAATTTGGAGTCAATGTCAGGCAGATTCATGCATTCAGAGAGGCCTGTGATGTATTGTGAGTTACTGTGGTGAACGTTTGGCTTTAAAATGCTATTCGAGACTTGAGAATACTAAAAGAGTTGCCAAATCAAGTTTTCCCAACTTTTAGTATTAGTGTTTTAATAGAATCTTTTGTTGAACTTCTCTGAATGTTATTATGGAATATTAGTGTTAAGGGTTACATAGTGATGCCTTGTTCTCATTCGCACAATCCCAAGGCTACATAAAGATTAATTATTTAAATAATTGGGCAAAACTCACAAAGAATATGTCTGGGTCACATTTTACTGCAGAATCAAAGGAAATAATTAAGGAAGTTTATTTTGCATAAAGAATCTTATGTTTTATTGTAAATTATGGTGATTTAAATTTTAAGAAGCCATTACAGTGTCTTTTTGTTGTTGTTGCTGTATACAATAAAGCATCTGTTTAATAAAGCCACAATGCAAAATAGGCCCCATTTACTTTATGTAACGTAATTTAGCAGATTTTTAATTTTGGAGTGAAATATGACCTGGACTTCGCCTGGTAATATTTGGAGACGAAAGATACCATCTATCCACATGTTCTCAATATTACGAAAAAAAAAAAAAAAAAGAGTATGTTTTGATAAGCTGATGTAAGTGCCTTCTGGGATGTGTTTTAGGGTTGGAAGCTCACCGCAATTCATGCAATGTTGAAATCCTATATATTGTAAATTAATGCCAGACTTAAAGACTGCAATCAATCAACAATATTAAGAAAAGAAGAAAAACAAGACCGCCTGAGCAACGGCAAATTGTCCCCACGTGATGCTTCTTAATTGCTCCGCATTATGGTGCAAGTCATTATTAACTCGTCAGCTGTGGAGCTGATTATTCATTCACTCTGAATGTTGTGTTGTGTTGTCAGGTTGTGACACTGTGTGTGCGAAAAACACTCGGACAGATCGCTTCTGCCTGACGTCTTTTGTGTAAAAACTGCAACAGGTTCATATCACATCACATAACTGCTGTGTTACAACAAACCTTTGTCAAAACTTGTGAGAACAAACTATACTGTCTTCTTTTTGTTTAGTTTGTTATATACTATGGATGGAAACCAGTGGTATCCTGTGAGGTGTTGATGGTGTGTATCTTGACGTGATGTGTCCTGTGTGTGAGATATATATATATATATATACTGTATATGTATGTATTTATCATCAAGAAAAAGTGTTATTTATCGGTACTGTAAATAACAGATGTAGTGGTCAGTTCTGGCCAACGTTAAATCTAAAGCAGATGTAGTATACAGTAATAGCCCAGAGTAGACAAGAGAATAACCTCAGCTGCCTTGAGTTGGTGATTTAGACAGGCGGGAATCAGCAGATGTAGCTTCCCAGACGCACACTAGTTAGTAACTGGCACACGGCCTGCGATGAAAGTACAGTACGGATTGACGTTCGCACACAAACTTTTTGCACTGACAACTTTTCGCTCTCTCAACCCTCAACAACATGACGCACACTCTCACCCCTCAACATGACAAGATGTCAACACTAGATAAACACACACACACACACGTACTCGACTGTAGCGGGTGAATCTCGTGCTCATATCCTGGTCATATGATGCCTGTGACTCAAAGAAGAGAAATAAGAAAGTACTTTTTGTTTAAGGGCAATTGTAGCAGGACATTTCTAAATGTTATTTTCAGGCCTGGAAAGTATGAAAAATAGTGACATTTTTTTAAAAGTCCTGGATTTATAATAATAATAATAATAGTTAAATTATAAATGTAAATACAAAATATAAAATAAAAAATATATTACTTTAAAATGAACAAGTAAAATAGAAATGCTTTAATAGTGTAGAGTTTACATTTTAATTGAGTTAATTTGGTAAATTTTATATTTTGAATATTTTAAAAAAAGTTATATTTTGAATATTTTAATAATTACGACAAAGAATTCATTTGAAAATAAAGTAAAATATCACTTCAAAATTAACTCAAGTAAAATGTAAATGCTTCAATTGTGTTTTGATTTGAGTTATTTGTATTTTATATTTTGAATAAATGTACATTTTAAAATATTTTTAATATCTTAATTATGGCAAAGAAAATGGGCATTATTTGTTTCTTGACTGTAATGATGTTAATTTTATTACATTTTATTTAATCAAAATATTATTTACATTTTTAAATATTTATTCAAAATACAAAATAAAAAAATATCACCTCCAAATTAACTCAAGTCAAATGTAAATGCTTTATTAGTATAAAGTTTACATTTTAATTGAGTTAATTTTGTAATTTATTTTTATTTAAATTTGAATAAATATTTTTCTAAAAATTAATATTTTAATAATTACTACGAATTTAGTTTGGCTTATAGTTATTATTATTATTATTATTATTATTTGTAATAATAATAATAATAATAATAATAATTTCTCCCTTTGATGTTGGGCTGCAATATGAAGCAGGCCATGATTTTCGTGAGATTGGCCCTCAGATATCCCCGCACACACTCTGGCCATCCAGGATTTATTCTCCGCAGTTAAAAGCTACGTGAGAAACTATTACGCTGACGTACACCAGTATTATCCCGTTTAGTGAAGGACATTATCAAGATTCATGCAAGTTCCTCACCAGTCATGTGGTTTTATAACCCTGAAAGACTCCTCCAGATGAGGTGGGAACCGCTGGGGCTCTAATCTTCTCTGAAAACGGAGCCACAGCGGGCAGAACTCTGCCAGGTTACAAACCAATGTTTCTGGCATGCAATTACGCACCCTGTCCGCAACCACTACTCTTAATTTTTGACAACAGAAATGGGTTATGGCATCTCCAGTTTGCATCTGCCGCCGGTCTCAAAGCAACTCGGAGCCATTAGACGAAATTGCAACTCCACACGTGTGTTTTCATGGCCTGTTCCCTCTCATCAGCTACTTGTGAATACTATAAATAAATTAGAGAACTAGAAAAAGCATTACTAATTGATACGCAGCCCTGCATTACCTCCTGGTTGTTTTGCTGCTTTTTCATTGTTGAAGATATTTAGTCTGTTTTAGAGGAAGAGGATGCTTTAGCATCACAAAGATGTGATTAGCGCTAACAAAAACACTTGTGTGGTGTGTTTATTTGGAGCGGAAACAAAAGCGTGTACATTCCAAGTCCCATTATTGTCCCTGCAATATGAAGCAGGCCATGATTTTCGTGAGATTGGCCCTCAGATATCCCCGCACACACTCTGGCCATCCAGGATTTATTCTCCGCAGTTAAAAGCTACGTGAGAAACTATTACGCTGACGTACACCAGTATTATCCCGTTTAGTGAAGGACATTATCAAGATTCATGCAAGTTCCTCACCAGTCATGTGGTTTTATAACCCTGAAAGACTCCTCCAGATGAGGTGGGAACCGCTGGGGCTCTAATCTTCTCTGAAAACGGAGCCACAGCGGGCAGAACTCTGCCAGGTTACAAACCAATGTTTCTGGCATGCAATTACGCACCCTGTCCGCAACCACTACTCTTAATTTTTGACAACAGAAATGGGTTATGGCATCTCCAGTTTGCATCTGCCGCCGGTCTCAAAGCAACTCGGAGCCATTAGACGAAATTGCAACTCCACACGTGTGTTTTCATGGCCTGTTCCCTCTCATCAGCTACTTGTGAATATTATAAATAAATTCGAGAACTAGCAAACGCATTACTAATTGATACGCAGCCCTGCAGTACCTCCACACCGTCCGGTTGTTTTGCTGCTTTTTTGTTTTCATTGTGTAAGATATTTAGTCTGTTTTAGAGGAAGAGGATGCTTTAGCATCACAAAGATGTGATTAGCGCTAACAAAAACACTTGTGTGGTGTGTTTATTTGGAGCGGAAACAAAAGCGTGTA